TGTTGGCTTTTGGCTAGTTGGGGAAAGGGGGTCTCTGGGCCCTTGTCGCACGAATGGCGACATGCTCAGAGCTCTGTTTCAAGCTGTAAATAACCAAGCGTGCGTGACTTTGCAGCTTCTTCTGACGTCTGACTGGCCGATGCGGGCTGAGGCTTGCTCGGTGCTCAGAACTGCCGAGCGTAATAATTACGCCTCTGGATTCGGAGACCATCTGGCAGCCTGTCGTGATCGTGACGCGGGAGAAAGCTATACGTCTGTGCTTGATTAGTTGGCTCACTAAAACATTAGCAAAGTACCTGAAGGCGGGACGGATCGTCTAGGCCCTTTCCTCTACCGTCACCCGATATTGGTCCATGTCACATGCCAGGTGTTCCTTGCCATATGAGCTGCTCGCAAGACATGGACCGAGTGCCTTGTCACTCGACCATGAGGTCGTCACGATGCGCCTGACCCAGCTTGTCTCCTCGGGTGTCCATTGGGGTGTTTGGTGCTATGGGCTCGATATGCGAGTTGGGTGGGTGGTGGATGGATAGATGGATGCGGAGACCCGATCCGCCGTACCCATTGGCCGGCCATGAGTTGGGATGAGAGAGCTGAGGTTGCAGCAACGGGACGGCTTGATAAGATCTTATCTTCTGGCACAGCCACGGCCCTGTGGACCTCATATTGAATGGGGTCTGAGAGTCGATTCCTATGTTCCGAGCTCACGGGCTGTTTGAACCCCAGCGTCGAGTTGCTTTCGGTGATAAGGTCATCAGAAAACCTGAAAATCGCAGTGGCTGGCCTGCCTGTCTGATCTTTCAGACATTCCATGGTCTTTGGGTGACGGCTCGCCAGATGGTTGGTCATGACCAACCAACACCGAGACAGTACATGGACGACCTTCACCCACTAACCGCATTTCTGGGTCTTGCGCACTGGCATCATCGGCCTGCAGCATAGCTAAGCCCGATTTAGCCCCTGCGTAATTGCTTTTGCATCGGGTCTCTCCTCCCAGCGGGCCGGATTCAAGGTGTTACAGCCTGGCTCGGCCACTGAGATGAATGACGGCTGGCCATCTCATGGCACACATTAGCGGAAAGTCAAATGGGCAACGCCTTACTGAGGATGCAGAGGAGGCGCTCCTGATGATCAAGTCCAGACTTCATCATATGCGAGCTCTGTTGAGTAATCTATAGCGCCTGGCAATGCAGGGTGGATCTCCAGAGTCACTCGGCCGTCAACGAGGAGACACTCGCTCCGATATTGTTCGGCGATCAACTCATTCGTGCTTGTTTAGGTCCCCGGCGACCCCCCGCAGAAACCCAATCCTTTTGATCTGTCTCGGGTTCGTTACCTAGACGAGGTTGTCTTCGCGTGATGAGGGAAAGGTGGCGGGCAGTCAAGGCAAGTGAATGTGTAGAGGGAAAGAACAATGCCTGATGGGCTTGCACAGCTTGCTCCTCGCCGCAACGGTTTTTCTGTCTCCAACAGAGAGACGCTGCTTCGGATTGCAAAGCGTCTGGAGCAGATCGTGGTGCTTGCGCGAAGCGCTGGTAGCGATCGATTTGTTACATCGTCGACGAGTGTGAGCATCGAGGAGTTTTCTGTCACAAATCATATCCCCTCGAAGTGGTGGCGGCTAATAGTCTCCCTGGTCCAAGTGGATTCCTGCCAAGACCCGCGGCAGTCCGGAAGCCTCCTAGGAGTGAGACTAGGGCAAGAGAGGGACAAGGGTGCTGGTTGTGTTTACCATGGGCAAAATCGAAATCTGATATCTGACATGACAAGAGACGGCGCCCCTTGTGGAGGTAGGTACAGTACGTTGTCGGACACCTTGAGATGTGCGCGGATTCATCCTTCAGATCGGATCGTGATCTCTTGTACGAATCATAATCATGATATGCTGAGGGGGGTTCATTCCACAACGGTGCGATCTGTTCAACAGCGAGTTTGAGCCGGTTGCCCATCACAAGGAGCAAGCCAGGTGAAGCGAGCCTACAATCAGCGTCCTGAGATGGTCCCCTCCTGCCCATGTCAGTTTGCTCTGACGTCGATGGCGAGCCTGCGGGATCTGACAACTCCGAAGACGGGCCCCGTTGTAAGAAGCTTCGCGCAAATGCTAGTTTGTATCTATCACCACACTAGTTGATCAGTAGTTGCGAGCTGGTGTTGCTGGCGGGGTGCAGCTGGATACACGAAGCACGTCGTTCTCCTTTTTCCTTAAAACGGACTGGTGGAAAAGCTGAACAGGTGCGGCTCGAGTTGAGCGGGATAGTACTCAAACACGCACACGGGGCCTGGTGTTATCAAGATCTGATCTGCACAACGCGAGATATACGATGATGCCAGATGCGCGGTAGGTACCTACGATAGGCGGCACCAAGTATAACGGACCGTACTGCGCGGGGATGGTGACTACCTGCGTCCCTTGCATGAGGACTGGCTGAAGAGCGCTGGGTGCCTTGGTATAATTGATTTTTTTTATGTCTGGTGCTGCTGAAGAGCGGAACACGTAGCGGATGGTTGGCGCAAGGGTTGTCTCGAGTGGGCCTCCAACCCTGGGAGGCCACCAAGCCAGGTGCATGTTGCGAGGGGAGTTTGCGAGCTGTCAGATATCCCATATCCAAGCGCGGAGGCACCTGGGCTAGGAACCAGCTTGCGCAAGTCGCATTGCGCAGAAAGAAGCGATGCGGCATGCAAAGCTGAAGACTGCTGATCAACGACATTCGCGGCACCCTGTCCGATGATGATGACCGCGGCAAGCGACGAAGAAAGTAGGGGTTTCCCAGTTGTTCCTTGCCGTGGTTGATGATGGCGAGATTTTACAGCTGCTCACGACGAAGGCTTGGACTGAGTGGTGAATGACACAAACGTAGAGCAAATGGCGTTGATGCCCATGGCGATATTGATGGCGCTGATACTCGTGGTAGCTGCTGATCCTCCAGAAGGGTTTCGTGGGGGGAGTTGCCTCGCTGCTCTGCGTTGCTTGCTGCTCTATTCTTGCACTTCGTTTCGTGACAAAGGGTTATGGGGGGTTCGCCAGGGAGCGTTTGGGGGTCCAGCATCGGCTCGAGCGGGTGCGTCATTAGACAGACAGCGGATCACTCGCGCTAAAGGGGCAGGCAGGCACACTGGACGGGGATACAAGCTGGGAGCTAGGGTGCACTTACCCTCTCTGTGCGCTACATGTACACGTCCCAAGTACAGGTGGGGTGAGAGGTGGGGTGAATGGTGAAAGACGAGGAGATGAGCGTAGGCATAGGCAGGCGCCCCCCCCCCGCCCCCCTTCCTCCCGCACGCAAGAACGAGATGAAGCTAGTGCAGAGTTGAGATCCCAAACAGCAGGGTCTTCCCCTGGTGTGCCTGCCGTGGACTTTGTCTGGGAACCCCAGCGATGCTGGACACTGCAGCAGCCCACTCGGGTCCTTTTCCCCACTCCACCAATACTGTGGCTGCGAGCCCTGTGTTCCGCAGGCTGTGCTGTCGTCAACTCCCTCGATGTCCAGCATTCATCGCCTGGTCCTCGCAAGCTCTGCCAGTCTGCTGAAGTACGCTACGACCTATCTATGCGTTGACGTCTCTATTCCCGACTTGCGACCGACCCTCTCACGCATCTTTGACCCCGAGATTCCCTTTCTCGCCGCCCTACCTTAGACCGCTCCACCGCGACCCTTGTCGAACGTTTCCTACGAAGCTCCCACACCAGCATAGGGCAGAGCGACCTGACTTGCGATATGGTGGTCATGGCGGGACTGGGCGGACACGTCAAGGTTGACTTAGTTGGCAGGTGGCTTGTCCGAGGGCTATGCCCTCTGTACCCGTTGCCGCCTCTGCGTGGCCGATCGATTCCACAGCACCCCGAGAGGCCTGCCTAGAGCCCCGGAGCATGAACAAGCAACAAGCAATGAGCAGCACCTCGTTGCATCTGCACGCCTAATGTTTATTCCGTCCAACTAACACGAATGTCTGTTTCAACATAGCACAGCCAACTCGGCCACGGCAGGCCTCAGACGTGCTTTCAGGGCCCTTTGACACTATCCAGCTGCTATCAGCCAGCCAGGTCAAGCCGATTTCACTCTCCCCACAACATGTCTCATTGACCGGCTCGACCTATCCCGACCTGACTTCGGCTGGCGACTGTCACTGATGGAGCCCCCGTTGGTCCCCCCAGCTCAAGCCTCTCAACGCCGCTCGTCGTCCAACAGGCAAAGCTAGTGCACCGGCCCTGGCCGCCGCCCCAGTCAGTCAGTCGGGATCATCGTCAAGGTCATAGTCAGGGCCAAGCCCGACCAGGCAAGGCGGGTTGGATCATGATCAGGGGGGATGACGCCTCAGGACCTGAAGTCTACCATCCCGCACCAAGCCTCTTTTCCCGTCTTTTGGTCACCACACCATCCTGGCAACCTGGCAGTTGGGGGTGGAGGAGGCAACAGCGGAGGGGGGGGGGTTTATGGCAGGGGTCGGTGTTTTCCCTCGTCCTGCTCCCAGAAGTGGGCTGTGCCAACCTCCCGATCCCTCACCCCCTTCTCCCCTTCCTGGGACCTGGACACGGCCCTCTCCCAGGCCCCTGGCCAGTGGGGGTGCAACCTCTCCCGAAAGGGGACATGGGACTTGGTGCTCACCCTCTGCCGTCGTCAACTCTGGGCCCGAACGGTAGACCTCATATCGACGCTAGGTATCTTGCTTTTGCTGGACCATGGCCCACGGCCCACGTAGAGACTTGTCTCGTGCATGGGTGCAACGTAGTCCAGATCTCTCACGGGCTTTTTCCAATCGCCTGGCTCTCTCAAGGATCGACCCCCAGCCATGGTACATCAGCCTTCTTCTCGCCGCCATTGTATATATATACAGTTGTACGACCCCTCGAGATACCACTTTTTGCTTTCTCGTCCTACGATACAGTGCTCTTGATAACAACCCACCAAAGCAGCTTTCTTAAAGTCTTACTTCCCCTCGTGTCACCCAAACATCCATCTCTGCTATATCTTCACGCGATCGACCCAACATTCCTGGACAACATGTCTCCCTCGCCCACCCCTCAACCCTGGGACCAATGGTCGCAACAGCAGCAGCAGCAACAACAGCCCCAACATCACTCTGGATATTCCCTGATGGATCAGTCTGTGTTCCCTCAATATGCCTCGCCAACACAGTATGACCCCAGGACAAGCCAGTATGATCCGAGAACTGTTGTCACCTCTGGTCCCCTCGTCGCACCTCACATGGCTCCTCACTATGTGACAGCACCAGCCTATGGTGTATCTCCCATCTCGAACATGAAGCCTCACTTTTCCACACAGACTCACTACTCCTACGGCCAGTACGACCAGCCTACAGGCCACCTAGCCATGCCTTACTCTCGCATGAGCCCCCAGCAAGAGCGCCACGGCCTCCCTATGGTATCTCAGATGCCCCAGCAGCAGCACCTTCACAGCCAGCAGCGCCAACAACGCAGTCCCTCAGCCGCCAGGAGCGAGACGCTGAGCGCTCCCAAGACACCGGATCCCATGAACACAAAGGAGATTACCTACAACAAGCCTGTCATGACAGATGATGTAGTCTTCACGACTCCTGTTGATGTCATGATGAAGGCTCTTCAGAAGAGGAAAGATAAGGAGGATCTTGCGAGCAGCAACTCCTCCGAGGCTGGTGCTGGCAGCGTCAAGTCTGAGCCCTCTTCCCCTCATCCGGTAAGCCTTCTGCCTCACTCCTAGGTCGACAAATGCTGACTTTTCCAAGTCCAGTACAGATGGTAGCCAGGAAACTACCGACAAGGTGAAGAAGTACAGGTGTCCCTACGACGGATGTCCCAAGAGCTTCCAGCAGAGCACACATTTGGAAACACACAAGCGCGCCCATACTGGCGACAAGCCCTACGTAAGTATGTTCCTGGGCCACATGACCGACACGTACTAACTCCGACCAGAAATGCGAGTGGCACGGATGCGGACGTCGATTCTCACAGCCTGGCAACTTGAAGACACACACCCGACTTCATACTGGCGAGCGCCCTTTTGAGTGCGAGATGTGTGGAGCCTGCTTCGCGCAACGCGGCAACTTGACTGCGCACAAGGCTACACACAGCAAGACGAAGCCCTTCGTCTGCAAACTTGATACGTGCAATAAATGCTTCACGACGCGGGGAAATCTCAAGGTAAGCTTCAGGTCATCAGGCTATAACGAATTCAGTTTTATTGACAGATTACGTGCAGAACCACCAGAACAAGTATCACAAGGAGACAATCGCCCAGCTTGTTGACTGGATCATTTCTCTTACGGACGTTGACGCTCTGTCAGCCAAAGACCGTGACCTGCTCTGGTACTTTTCCAATATCTACAAGAACAGCAACAAGGGCATCAAGGGCCGAGGTCGCGACCGCCGAGTCAGCGAGGTCCGCATGGGCAAGACAAAACTCAGCTCGCCCGGCATGGGCCTCCCCCGATCAAAAATGCTCGACTCCTCCTTCTCCCGCCTTGGACTCGGCTTCTGAGAGACGAAACACGAACAAACGCTAATGTGGCGACGACGATCACACGCTTCCTTACATCATCATTTCGCGGGGTTTCTCACAGTCAGTTTTTGAATTTGGCTCTCACTTATTTATTCCCCTCGGCCGGACTATGCGCCGGCGAGGACCATGTACCACCAAAAGCGCGCGAACAGGGACGGCACCAATATTATCGAGCGATACCAGGCGTGCCTTAGGGCCGCGGCATCAGGAAGATACACCGATGCGGAGGCTGCGAGTCTTTTCTTTCTTTTCCGTCTTTTTTCCTTGGACTATACTTCTTCATTTTTACGAAGCATGTTTACCACGACTAAAGCGAGCATGCGGGGGATTGGCCATGGCGAGGCGGTCAGCGGCGTTGTGTGCGGTTGCACTCTGGAGTTACTAGACCCGGAGATATTACGCTGCCGATTATGGGAGGATTGGGAAGATGATGCACCCCCTTGCCTTGTGCGGGACGGGGAGGGGGTTTTGCGTGTACAATATGGAAGAGAACATGGCGAATGACAAGAGCTTGGCGAACATGGGACGGTGAATACGGGATCACATAAAGAGGAGGGCACGGGACCGAGACCCAGACCAGGGCGGTCAAGCATTTGCGCAGTTCGCGGTGTCCTGCGACGACAACGAGATGAGATGGGGGGGTGGGTGGTTCAGTCATCAGGAAATAGGGCTCGCTCGGACTTTTTTCCTTGGTTACATTTTCTGATAGAAAACGAACAACTGACGAATCAACTATTCCTGTCACTTTGCCGTGTGCCACTGCATAGTATTATGGAACATGGGCGAGATTCAATGGCAGCACGTCTGAGGTTGCTGTCGACATAGGTCATTGAGGTTTCGAGCCGTATCGGGACAGCTGCACATGAACCCCTGTCGTTTCGCCCGTTGGAACCGGGGCTGGGCCTCTCCGAAAGATTTCGGTACCGCCGTCACTTGGCACACACCCGCCTCGACACGACACTCTTGAGTGAGGCTTGAACGGATGCTCCAGCGGGAGAGAGCTGTGGCGGCGCAGGATCTTCTCCCCCCCCCTTTCCCACCGGGGAAGCTCCGCGAGAGGCCAAGCGTCGACGGTAAGGCAGGCGAGCCGATCCAGCGTCCCAGTGACCCATCCAGCGGGGTGGGTTCTCAGGGCTGGTTGGCATACAGACTTGCTTCTGCTCTGGTCCTCTCCACTGCCCATGCCGCTGTCATATCTCGCACGCGCGCGCGGATGGTGGTGACGGGGAACAGGGCGTTGGGACCAGTTGCCTTGCTCTCGATTGAGGGTGTGCCCGTGACAGAGCCACCGATTTCTGTCTGCTCATCCAGATCCCCATATCGGTCGGAGGACAGGAGCGCGGGGAGGCGGAGACTTCTCGCCTTGGGACGTCAATTGAAACGTAAAATGGTAGTCATCAGGAAACACAGCGACGGTTCAGCTTGCGCGTGCTGGTCGACCTTGTCCACCTGCCTGCCTACCCGCTCCTTCCCTTGCCCTGGTGACCATTTTACCTTTCTCTCCTAGTGGCCCCAAGGCAAGGTACCAACAAGCAAGCAAGCAAGCAAGCAAGCATGAGGCGGGATCCAGTGCGGACCGAGGAGCGCGCCGGGACGTTGAGGTCGCCGATCCCCGCCCCTGATTGCTGGAACCAGGCCCTTTTTGGTTTCCAGGATAAGGTACTGTACTGTACGTAAGGGGGCTGATGTCGTAGCTTGATCTTAGGTGACAACGCGCCTTGAGGCTGGAGATGTGGCTAAATCCCGCAACGCTGCCATCGTACAAGCTTGCTTGATAACGTACCTACTAGGTACTGTAGCATGCTACCTAGTTAGCTCACTTGAGATACGGTTCACAGAGTGGTGATCCGTCAATGGGGAAGGGCTATTGTCCACCCTTCCCCCCCCCCCCCCCCCACGCGATACCCAAGCACGCGGGTTTTGGTGTTTGACGTGATGGTCAGAGAACGGACGGTGGGAAGAAGGGAAGGGGGGGAGATCCTTTTGGCATCCTCCAATCTCAACAACGTCCGGGGCTTTCATTATCTCCCCTGCCATGTGCTACTGTGCCGTTGCACTGGGAAATCCCAATTCTCGGGTGTCACGACATGAAGCGGGTGAGCAGACCTTTGGGACGAATAAGCCTTCCATCCATTCCAATCCCATGCCTTCCCTCCCTCCCCCCCAGGCGACCCTTTCCATTTGCGTGTACGGTGCTGAACTTGAAAATTTGGGGGCCATTTACCAAGAGCCATTAGAGCGCGTAGATCAACGAAGCCGGTTGGAAAAAGCCTTGATTGGTGACGAGGATCTTTCTGACCTGTCACTCACAATGTCATGGTTCAGCTGCCCTCTCCCCCCTCCCCCCTCCACCCTCCCTCCCGCCATCGCCGTGGCCGCGATAAACAAACCCCGAGCATCATCTCTACGCTCGAGGACCGAACCAAGGCATTGCGAATCCACTCACAACTGGCCTACCGGGTCTATTGAGAGGATGCCAGGTCAGCTGGTCAGGATTGCTGGGCGGGTTTATGACATGCCCCTCCACCAACACCCACCCACCCCCTGGTCCGACTGTCCGAAAGAGTCGTCCCGACGCGAAAGCATCTGGGATGATGTCCTCCCCCCCCCTTCACCCTGGGCCGACCCCCCCGGGCCTTGCATCGGCAGCGGCTTCGTTCCGGATCAATACCAAGGCGAGGCTGATTGATAGGTTCCCAGAAAACCGGTCGCGCCTGTGAGAGCGAGGGAGAGAAAGCATGACGAGGGGTCACCTTTTCCTGCTGCCCGGGGGTTTTCTCTTTCGTCAACGAGGTGGAGGGGGATTCGCAATTGAATCGTAACCCCCCCCTTGGTTTCCAGTCCGTTCCCAAAACCCTGATCCTGGGCCAACACACCCCCTCGTCGCTTTGCTCCCTGCTGGGGTGACAGAGAAAGGGAGGTGTAATGTGAGAGGTGGGGACGCATTGAGTGCAGTAGGCTCGCCGAGGAGACCAGGTTGAGGGGGGGGAGGAGTTGAGTGGCAGTGAAGTGTTCAGTCAACGTGAATGATGTGATGCATGCGTGTCCGTTTGCCCAACCTTGGCCGTTGGCGATACACCCCTCCACCTGGAGCCTGCCTTAGAAGTCCGAGGGCCGGGCATCACCGCCTCGAAGATGCTGTCGTTGAGATGTAGGGAGAACAGAAGAAGGCAGCAGCAGCAGCAGCATGTGCATTCTGCAGGCTTTCACCGCCCCGTGTCTCGGACAGCCGTTCGACGCCCTTAGACGTGGTCGTGGTTGTGGCGCGTCTTCTGCAGCAGATGCAGTGATAAAGTCAACAAGTCGTCGTTGACAGCGGGTCAAGGCGGTCAAGATGCCAAACTGTTTTATGCAGGCTGGTCTCTGTTGAGGGGCGGGTTGGCAGATCAGATAGGTTTTTTTGGGGGGGAGGGGGGGTTCTGCAAGTGGTGATGGAGGACCACTGCGCTGACTGTTTTCGAACGTGCATGGCTACTCTGTTGTTGAAGATGGTGGTGTCGTCAGTCGGTCGGTCAAGCAAGTCGGTCATCATGCAGGTGATAGACGGACACATGGCCGCGAGGAAATTGACCCCTCCTGCTGGATGCCATCATGATGTCTCGAACCAACAATGACTGGCAGCAAGACGCCGTGGAGAAAAGTAGAGCATTCCAGTCCATGGTCCATCCACCTACCACGTCGTCCGATAGCGACACACCGACGATCCGTCACAATCTGTCCGGCTGGAGGGGTCTCAGAAGCTCGAGAAGCTTCTGGAGGGTTGTCTGGGGTCAAGGAACAAAGGTATCGCCTGCATATGCACGTTGAACTCGACACAGCCGTCTACGACACTTTTTCTTCGCCGCCCCGTCCCTCCCTCGCGGCGATACTTGGTAGGCCGAACTACCCATTGCAGGTCGCTGCAGCGCAATGTACCACTGCCGACTTGAAGAGATTTCCGCCTACTGAACGTGGTTGAGGCAGCCGATACGCGGCTGCCGGCCAACCACGACCAGACCTACGCTGCTGCTCACACCTGCACCGCCTTTTTCCCTTGATCTACCGTGTCAACCGGAGATGACCTCTGACCGCTACTACACAGATGAACGAATCGAGAGCCTCCACCTGCGCAGACCCTCCGAGCCTAGAGGCTCGTATCGTCTGCATCCCTTTGCGCAGCGAGGATCGACAGGCAAAGTACAGCGATATTCCTCGTTAGAGTCTGGGCCCCCGATGCCTGACGTCCGGCAGCTATCCTGACCTTACACGAGGAACCGTCAGGCGCAATCTCCCCCTTCCCCCCAGTCCGACTGCCGTGAATACATTCTGAGACTCTCATTGTTCTGTCCACTCACGACAAGTGAAAGCTGACAGCTCTTTGTCCCCCTCCTCCATCCCTACCTACCGTAGGATTGAAGGAGGGGGCGGGGGGCTCAGGGCAGTCAGCAAGGCTGGGCGTTGCGAATGGCTGAAATGGACGAGGGGCTAGAACGGTTCCGTGAGTTTCAACCTTTTCTGACACTCGTGAACGAATCATCCTTCTCAGGACATGGAGCGACAATCTTGACACACGCCTCGACGATGCATCACGGTGCGTGATTGGCCGCGCGGAAGAGCCGAATGGAGGCAAGGGGGGGTGGTGGTGGCCAAGGGGAAAGACTGATTCTCGTTCTGGATCTCTAGCCACCGTGCAGCGTCGACACGAAGAGGATGTTGTCCCCGGCCTTCAGCTCATAGGCCTCCTCGCCCTCCAGCTCCCAGTCTGCGTCGTTGATGAGGACTAGGATGCCTGGTCGGCTGGGTGAGACGGGTCAGCCATTGACAAAAGATTTATGATGAGGATATCCATCGACAAGGTGGAGAAGAAGGGGGGGGGGTGGTAGGCAGTCAGTTGACAGCCCAACTACTGGACACAGGCGAAGGTTGTTTGTGATGAAGGCTCGACGGGACCCCAGGGAGTGTCACGACTGACTGGCTGTGACAGACAGCCTGAGATGTAAGGGGGAGGGGAAGGGGGAGGGGGGCGAGTGGCTGGACATACATGTGATCATCGAGGACGAAAAGCTCCTTGCGACTGTCTTTCATGACGTTCTTGCAGAGGTGGTCGATGAGATGAGCAATGGTCGCAGGCTGGCCATCCTCGCTGCGCGAAGGGATCGAGACAGCATGCTTTCGCTGGTCCTCGAACAGCATCTCGAGCCCGCCTCTGCACGAAAGGTCAGTCAGCGGGGAAATAAAACAGCCAAAACAAAAACAAAAGACGTGCGACGAGGCAAGGGAGCGAGTGAAGTCGAAGAAGGCTGGTTCTGCCTCTTGGTACCTCCAAAAGACACCCCCTTCACCCCTTCAAAAAGTCTTGAAGATGGGGGGTTCAATGCGGATAGTTGACTCACGAGAACTCGACGGTGAGAGATGTCTCTTCCATGCTTGTGTCTTGAACAGCAGAGATACCTTGCTACAGATGTGCTGTGTAAGGGTATCGGAGGCCCCGACGTTGATCTTGGATCTGATGGAGGCTGTGTGTGGTGGTGAAATGGAACGGAGCCGCAAGTTTGACAGCGGATGCGGGCGCCCGTTGCAGAACCCCCCCCCTCCCCCCTAGGGCGGTGCCTCAGTGGAGTGTTTTGACGTTTCTTGTAGCGAAAGTATACCGTACACTGACACACCAACCGAGCAGCCCGCCGTATTCTTGTTCTGCACAGAAAATTCGACGTCAACTCTTCCAGCCACTGCCATGAACCAATCAGAAGACGGTAATTGATGAGTCCTTGGATTCATCCATCAACCATCTACCACGTCGGTATCCCTCGTCCCATCATGCCCGACCTTCAAGCAACGGCCGAGTATCTCTCTACCGGTGCTAACAGGCACACTGCCATCGCCGACTGGAGCCAGTCTGGTGTGCTTGCCTTTGGTGCCAACTCCAACATCTGCCTCTGGACACCGTCTGTTAGTGCCCTGACCTGATCTGGTATCAGGCCCAGTGACTGACCCAAAGAAAACCCTCTAGGCAAGCAGTCATGTTGGTGTTGAAGGCATTCTGAGTGGTCACAAGGATGCGGTCAAGGCGGTGAAATTTCTGCCGCCAACGGAAGGCGGCAACGAGGTCATCATCAGCGGCTCAGACGACAAGACGCTGAAGCTGTGGGCGCTCAACGCGGACCGCGCCACAGGGCAGTGCATCCAAACTCTGACGGATCACACGGCGCCCATCAACACGATTGCCATCCTCAAGTCAAGAAATCCTTCGACGCCGACCCTCATTGCAACGGGTGCTGCCGATGCAACGTTCCGAGTGTGGAAGTACGAGGCAGGCCGTCTCCTCCTCCTGAGCACCATCAAACCGACACCCAAATTCTTCCCCCTCACTCTCGCCCTCAGCACCCTCGATCATGAGGACGATGTCGTTGTTCTCGCTGTGGCAGGCACCAAGGACATTATCCAGATCTATGTTGCCGCCAACACAGCCGCCACTCTAGACTTCCAGCTGCAGGCGACCCTGACAGGTCACGAAGGCTGGATTCGATCGCTCGACTTCACATGGGAGAGCAGTGCCGCTGAAAGTGACCTTCTTCTAGCCTCCGCAAGCCAGGACAAATACGTCCGTCTCTGGCGCCTCCACCAGGGCAGCGAACTCCCCGCCATGACGAGCAACGCAGACCCCGCAACGAGTGCTTTTTTGCCGGGCAAGTCACCTGCCAACAAGGCCCATCGACTGCAGTCCTGCGACAAGGTCTTTTCCATCACGTTCGAGGCGCTCCTTCTGGGCCACGAAGATTGGATCTACAGCGCAAAGTGGTTCCGTTCTGAGACGGAACAAGGTGGCGGCGGCGGCGGCGGCGGCACCAACAGGCCCCTGCAGCTCCTGTCCACGTCAGCCGACAACTCTCTCGCCATCTGGGAAGCGGACCCCGCATCGGGCATCTGGGTCAGCATGGTACGACTGGGTGACATCAGTCGCGAAAAGGGCGCCACGACAGCGACGGGCAGCATCGGCGGGTTCTGGACGGGCCTGTGGGCGCCTGGCGGCCAGTCGGTGGTGTGTCTCGGCCGCACGGGTAGCTGGAGGCGCTGGGTGTGGGATGGTGCGAGGGACGAGTGGAAGCCCGCGCTCTCGATCAGCGGACACACAAAGGCCGTGACGGGAATTGCGTGGGCCAAGGGCGGCGAGTCCCTGGTGTCGACGAGCGGCGACCAGACGACGAGGCTGCACGGGCGCTGGAAGGAGGCGCACGGCGAGACGTGGCATGAGATGTCGAGGCCCCAGATCCACGGGTACGACCTCAACTGCATCGATACGCTGGGAGCGACGCAGTTTGTCTCGGGCGCTGATGAGAAGCTCATGCGCGTCTTTGGCCGGCCGCGTGCCGTCGCTAAGCTCCTTGGCCGACTGGACGGATCTGGCTCCGATCAGGACGCTGGCGTCGACGATGTTGCTGACGCTGCCGACATGCCCGTGCTCGGCCTGTCCAACAAGGCCATCGACGCCGCTGACCCGCCTGCCCATGTCGAGGCCGAAGCCGACGTCGATGCTGCCCCCGCCGTTCGCACCACAGCCCTTGACATTGATCACCCCCCGTTCGAGGACAGCCTCTCCCGCCACACGCTGTGGCCCGAGGTCGAGAAGCTCTACGGTCACGGCTACGAGATCTCGTGCCTCGCCACGTCTCACGACGGCAAGCTCGTCGCCAGCGCCTGCAGAGCGAGCTCCCTCAACCACGCCGTCATCCGCATCTTCGAGACGGACACGTGGGTCGAGGTCAGGCCGCCGCTGGCCGCGCACACTCTGACAGCGACGCGTCTGCGCTTCTCCCGCGACGATCGGTACCTCCTCAGCGTCGGCCGCGACCGGCAGTGGGCCGTCTTTGAACGCGAGGGCGAGGGCGCCCCGCGGTATCAGCTCCTGCAGGCGAACCCCAAGGGCCATAGCCGCATGATCCTCGACGCGGCATGGGCGCCGTCCGCGAGCCCGGCGGCGTTCGCCACGGCGGGGCGAGACAAGAAGGTGCGCGTCTGGAGCGCGAAGACGGGCGACGATGGCAAGACGGCTTTCGGGCAGGCCGCGGAGGTTGCCTGCGGCGAGCCCGTCACGGCCGTAGACTTTCTGGGGAGGTCGCTTACGAACGGGGCACTGGCGCTGGCGGTGGGCACCGAGTCTGGCAAGATGTCGATTCACACGCTGGACGCGACGAGTTTGCAGGTGGTCAGCAGCACTCCGTTGCCAGAGCAGTATGTTGTGACCCTCCCCTCGTTATTTCATTATTATATCTTGCCTCACGTAGATCACATGCTCACAATTTGCCAGCCTCTGTCTCCCTACGAGCGTTCTCCAACTCGCTTGGCGCCCCGCGGACGATGGCAGTCAGGAGTATCAGCTGGCCGTGGCTGGAGAAGACAGCTCCACGAGAATTTATCGCTTGCCGGGGCTGGTTTCGGCATGAGGGGGAAAATGAATAGTCGTCGTGTAAATGCGAGCCTCCGTTCTCGGGTAGACGGCAGACGGATATTAAGTCTATGATGGTATGATTATGCAAAAAGAATAAGCCGCATGCTCTCGTCGAACATGAAGGGCTTCCTATCCGGGAGGCCCTTCTCCCTCCACTTCCCGAAAAACGCCAGAACCCTATGTGAGAACCTGCGGTCTCGGTCGGGCAAGGTACAAAACGCCAGATCCCATGCCGCCGTCCTCTCTTGAGCTTCCGTGGCCATGTACAGCCCCAGCGCGTGTGGCGCCTCCTCATTGTCGGGCGAAATCCAAGTGCACCTCCAAGTGCACCGCTGATGTGTATAGTCTTCGTCCAGTTTCCTCGTCACACGCTCCAATTCGCTCGTCGCGTGGTGCCCTCCTGTTCAAAGCTCCCGCACCACCGCCTCGGCCGTCTCCCCTGCCAACGCGGCCGCCGTCGTCGACACCAGGCCAACCGTCTGGTGCAGCGCGCCTTCGACGGCCTCCTTTGTCAGCTCGACGACGTCGACGTGCTCGCCGTTCATGTAGAACCAGGCGCGGCCGACAATGAAGGCGATGTGTTGCGGGAGGTAGAGGACCGTCGCGATGAAGGTGAGACTGCTGAGGAGGAAGAAAATCGTATCTGGACGGGTGTTAGCAATGTGTGCCTTCTTTTTTTCGCATCCTAAGCTCCGGAGACAGAGGCACAGGGGAGGCAGGCGTACAAAAGGCGAACTTTTCCCAGGGGGTGAAGATGTAGACGCAGAAGGTCACCTCGAGCTGGTACTGCTTGAGGTGCAGCCAGCGGCTGAAGTCGGTGATCATGGACATGTTGGCGATCGCGACGGGTGACTCGGTCGGGTAGGTGGTGCGTGTATCGGTACGGAGTGGCCGTGTCTGGTAGGGGCAGATCGTGGGGACGGGCTGAAGTTTTGCAACCGAGGGACGAGTGACGAAGTTGAGGATGCGGAAATGAAAAGGGGATGTCACAGGCGCGCCCGCGCATGATTTCGGCGGGCCCGGACTCGGCAAGGTACATACACTGCATAGCCATCTAGTTCGCCATTATCGTTTAATCAGATATATGAAACTAAAGGCACTTTCCATCATGTCGACGACGACCACGACGACGCGTTCAACTGGCAGCGGGACTTCACATCATCAATCCCATATATCAAGAAAGTAAAGCATCGCATGGATTACCGAATCATTACTGCCTAGGATATCGAATCAACGCCAAAACACCACAATTCTAACTCTCAGTCCACTCCAACCCAACACAGCACTTGCTCTTCTTACAGACCGTCCTCGTCAATGTCTGGATACTGCCACTGCTCAACAGCTCCAGCACCTGCATGTTCGCCTCGAGTTCCCTCGTGATGAAGTTTCGGATCTCAATGGCCACAAGCGAGTCGAGCGGGTAGTGTGACAAGCTGCGCGTGACATCCAGCTCCTCCGGCTCCATCATGAGCACGGCGGCAATCTTGTCGACGAGACCAGCGCACACCACAGCCTCGGCATCTGCCTCGCTGCGTGCCGCTCTCAGGGAAGCATTCAGCGATACCGCCGCACACCCAGCCGCACCCGCCTCGGCGGCAGCCTGCTCCTCCGCCGCGACCCGCATCGTCTTGAACTTGGCGTCTGGCGTCCAGAAGGGCTGCACCGTAGACGTGATGCGCATTCCCGTCACGACGTGCTCGTTGCACACCGACGTCTTCCCAGATATGGCCGCGCTCATCAGTGCCAGTACCTCCGCCTCGCAGATGCTGTCCGATCCCAAATTCTTGGCCACCTCGGCCGCGCGCTCGGCCCCGCTGTCGGCGAGGTAGCCCGCGTCCGAGACGGCGGTCAGATCGAGAGATGTCGCCGGCAGACCCTGCGCCAAGCGGTGCTGCACGAGCGCGTTGAGATATGTGTTGGCTGCAGCGTAGGCCGCTTGTCCGCGGTTACCGACGGCGCCAGAGGCCGAGGATATGGCG